CTCATTGTAACGTGATAAAAAATTTTCAGGTAATATAATGTTATTGCTTACAAATATTTACTCGCTCTTCTACAATTTTTTTCTCGTCATAATATACTGATATAAAATAATTTTATTAAAAAATGTAAATGATTTATTATCACTCAAACAAAAAGTTTATCACATTCTTGAATGAAATTAAAGAATAAACAAATATTGACAAATTTATGACGTATCTATATCACAGATGATGCAGCAGAGAAGATGATACAAGCGGACAGGAAGTGATTTCTTATGTAAATACAAATAAAAATCCAGAATCAAATTTTCTATCTTCGAACTGCTTAATTTACGGATCCATGCACTTCTACAATCAAAATACGGTTCGTTGAACAATTATAATGCACATATTGCGTTTATATACTTCTCCTAACCTATAAAAAAATATTATATTACAGCATTGTTTCTCAAAGAAATTAATAATTATTACCATTCAAATATGTTACACTAAACATTTCAAAATGTCCAAACGTTAAGTCCTATGTTTCCATGTAAGTTCACTAAATATCCAATTTGTCCAATTATATTAACTCTTGTCATCATCGATAGCCACTTGAAGCACCTCTATGGCATTATACCAAACAACGAAATAAATACGAAAAGTATGAAACGTGACGTGATAAAATTACAATTCGATTCGACGACGACCAGACCTAACCTAATCTTGACTGGACAAATGTTAAAACGATAAAAGAGATTGAACTTGTAATACGACAAGACGGACGGACAATATATCGAGGCCAAGAGGATGACGCGGACGTCTCAGACTCTTTCTTGACCCCATGCATGAAACCGATTAGGATCGGGCCAGAGCGATACGGACGAGGCGATGGCGACGGCAGCTCTTCTGCGGAACAAACCGAGCCCGGGTTCCACGACCCTGGAGGACGTCCTTGACTCCCTCCTTGGCCTGCCATCCGCGTCGCGTACCCCGAGTCCTGGGCCAGGTCCCGTCGTAACCGGTACATCCACCACCATACGCCATCGAACTAACGTCGGCCAGGCTAATGCGAAAGCCGGGAAGAGCTGCAGCGACCTACGCCAAGACCTCCAAGGTAGGAGGACTATGTAAGTTTTCGTTCTGAAGCGGCTCCTCTCTCGAGAGAGGACTCGAGAGAGGGTGAAAGAAATTTTAACCTAACATTTTTTTTCTTATATGAATATATGTATATGTATGTATACTTACGTGTGCGTATCCATGTTGTATACAAGCGCGGTATGGTTTCAGAGTAATCGTTAACGTGAAATTTCATGTTTTCTTTTTTTTTTTTTTTTTTTTTTTTTTTTTTTTTTTTTTTTTTTT